CATGAATTGAAAAATGTTTAAAAATTTGAAGAGGTTTAAAATCGATAGACACTAAAAAAATCTGATGAACATTTGGATAAATTGAGTCTGAAAGAATTTGAAAAATCCGGATGACATGAAAAATCGGAGAAAGTATAAAAATTGAAAACATCTGAGAATGAGAAGGATTCAATGAGATAACCTGATACCGGATACGAAAAATTAAAAAAAACCTTTTTGCGAATATTTCGGATGTTTTGTGTGAAAAAATTTCGTTATTCAAAAAAGTATTGTAGCTATATCAAACGTCTGGAAATATACCTATGTTTGAAAGGTGGCTTAATTCAACGATAATTATTGCACCATTTGTAATTAAACAATGTGCGGACGATATCCCGTCTGATCATGCGGCTATCAATGGTTGCAACTTCATCAGCATGGGTAGGGGAAGAGGGGGCCGTTATTATTATCATCATTAAGAGTGCATATTAGGTTGACAAATGGGCATTTGCGTCGGTATCACGTGACATCGAGCAATTATGGATAAGAATTAAGATAATTGATAGTTGCTGTTATCTACATATATCTACAGCCACATAGGTATGACGTAAATCCATTTTTATATTCCTTTATTTTCGAATCTCCAATTCTGCCGAGTAGTGATGGTGTTATGTGCCTAGGAGATTTTAATATTAATTTAAATAACGTCACTCACTACCACAGCGTTCCAGTCCCTTACTGAGGTTCTGAAGTCCTTTGCACTTGACTTCCGAACCGACAAAAATGATAAGCGAGTCAGAAACTCGAAATCATTCTTGATGCAGGTACGATCACTGAATACCACTTAACTGATCATTTTTTTTCTGTGAGTTGGAGGAATCCAATGATTCAAAAACTGAATACCATTCATTCAATTTAATTTTTTTTTAATTACCAAACCATTCTCGAAGATAGAAAAAAGGTAAAAATTGCCCATTTTACATATTTTTACATAAAATCCAGTAGAGTAGCAACCAAAAATTTGGACCACTGATTCTGAGATATGACCCCAAGTTGGTATGTTTTGAATGCGAAACCCGGTATATTTTAACCTCTATTTTCTTGTTCCTGATGATGATACATTGATGTATCACAACCTTTACTAGCTTCCCAATTAATGGCTAATCGCAGAAACTTCGAAACCGTGCAGCTGTGGCCCAAAACCGAATTAATGCCGACCTGAACTTTCTGACGACCCACAATCGAATGTTTTAATTCTCTTTTCTCTAGATCCGTCCCTACTAGATTTCACTGAACAAGAACGTCTACAAATGGCAAATAGCTAAGCCGGTCACCTTTAATCATGAACGAAGTAGATACGCTCAGCCCCGCTTAGTAATTTTGCAAATTTGTCGCTTCCCATAGACTCGAAGTGAGATCACTCGGCATAATTTGGACTTGGACTCATCAACCCTATTGAAACTACTCTCAACGCCCGACAGACTGACGCCGTCAACTCCCCTAAGTCATTAAACGGTGATCATGTATACGCAAACCAGTGACACCTAAAAATAAAGATAGTTACGTAACTTTATTAAAACTCACGGACTTTAAAAAATGTAGAATTACAATTTTGCACTATGTAACCCTAATAAATCTCTATATATAAAAATGAACCCCTGTTTCTTCTGGTCACGCAATAACTTTTGAACGACTTTACCGATTTCATTCGTCTTTTTTTTAAAAGTTTTCTAATACTGTGTAGAAGGTTTTTACGGCAAGAAAAACTAAGAAAATCGCACAGAAAATTGGAAAATTGGAGAAAACTTAACGACTATTTAAACATCGCGCGTTTGACGGTGCGACGGCAATTGTTTTAACAACTACATCGATCGACAATGGATCGGCATATATCCGTCAAAAAATTAATTTATTCATAGCATAGTGTGCTGTCAATTCCATCGGATAGTTTATCCAGATTTCAGTGAGTTTTTTGAGAAGTTTCGAGGTTATTTCACCGCAATCACGCCTTTTATATTAAAAGTTTGGTATACCTAATATCCATTTTTGCTAAGTGTTGAATGTTGATAGACTAAACACGTGGTATACATAGTTATACAATATACAGAAACACTAAGGGAGTCCATTTCTATTTTCAGTTGAATTTTAGTTTTTTCAAGATGCTACTAGTTAGACGTACCAACATGGTACCAACTTAAGCCGCAGAATCCCTATCGAGCTGCATTTAATTATAACGTAGCAATCGATTAGAGTTTACAGTAAATCGTTGCTCTTAGACCAAAGAACTTTGTGTGTCCACATTGTAAGGCTTTTAAGATTAAAACTGAAGCCCCTGGATTATGTTGCGCCAGTGCCCAAGTGACATTGACGCCATTGGTATCGCCACCAGAGCCACTTCATTCCTTCGTTTCCGGAAATGGGCCAGATTCTATACATTTTTTGACTCATATCCAGAAATACAATAATTGCTTTCAAATTCAAAAACAAAAAAAAGGTACGTTACTAGCTCTGAATCGCCAAACGCAACTAGAAGTGAGTGCGCTTATTTTTTATTATTTTGGAGAGAGATGGGGAGATTTTGGGGGAAGTGTGTCAAAATCTCTTCGAATCGACTAAACGGTTGAACCGATTTACCTAAACCAAATTTCCTACACATATTCTTATAGACATAAAAGGGCAGAATCGCGCATGCGTAGGTGCGGCTGATGTTACCTGTGCTAGTCACAGCAAATTTCTTGAAATTATTTATTCCAGTCCGAATTGAATACGTATTCATAGCTAAAAAAAGAGGAAAGCGTCCGTCGGGTCAGCTAGTAAAAAATAAATTCCAGCCTACAAACAATTCGAAAAAATAAACCCCATTTAAAGACCAAGAGCGGCACTTGAGGACCAGTCTCTGAACTTGCACCTGTTGTCCAACATTCTGATGTAATCTGATGTTTTTGTTTGTATGTTTGAGTGTATTATTACATCATATATTCATTGTCTATTGTTAGAACTCAGGTCTAGCCTGGTGACTAATCTCACGGATTAAAATCAAGTAGCGATTAGTATCGGTCTGTATGTGTATTATTATTTACTTAAATTTTGAAGATAAACTTTAGAATCCGTATATTAAACACAACATTCTGATGCGATTTAGTGTTATGACTTATGAGTATCCCAAAGGCTGCAGGCTGCAGCAGAATTAATTAGACTCGCAGCTAGCATTGGTGAGGCGATCATCTGTTGTAGTGAAGAAAACAAAAAAAAACTGTTGATCGTTCACTCTTATAAATGGATGATTTTTTTTAAATTTTGGTTATACCCGAGGTTATACCTAAACAGTGTAGACCGGCTTTCATTTGATACCAAATCCATTCATTCTACACTCGAACGTTTTTTCTTAATTTTTTTGGGTATAGACCGTAACTACGAATAAAAGTAGGTACACAAGGAAAGGAAAGAAGATTGCGGAAACATAAGCATCGAATTCACATTAATAAATTAGCCATAATTAATGGTATAATGTGATAGATCATGGTGGTTTTATTCATATATAAACAACCAAGGTTCAAGCTCACGGACGCTCTCACGGCGTAAATTTTAAACTGGTAAATGTTTAAGATCATATCAATCAAAACGTGGTGATGTTTTGATTAATTTCCTATTCCCAAAACAACAAGGTAACCTAAAATGAGCTAATTTCCTTTTTTGTACATCTTGATACCAATTGTTACATAACAAATCGGTATAATTAAGATAATTGGTTTATTTATTTAATTACTTTTTCTACAAACATAGGATGTAGGTAATTAATTCTTTATTGAGATTTTGCACACGAGGAAGATTTTGGAAAATCTTGTACGTCTTAAGTATTAGACTCAAGGTTGAAAAGTACTTCGGGCAGCGACCGATGAAAACATAATGTCATAAGCAAGTGTCAGTACACAAAAACTGGATTTGATTTTGTTCAACGAATCTTTTAGTCGCTATCTTTTTCACTACGTAATATATTAATAGCATGTCGTGATTCAAAAAGTAATTCCAGATTAATTGAAATACGTTTTACAATTTAATTCCATTGTAGTACCTATATTCTCCTTCCCACGATCAAACTTAATAGGTAATTTTGTAAACGGTTGTAAGTAGTAAATACGTGTTCAGTTAAACTAATGACTTACATAAACCTAAATTTTTCCATTTAATTAATAACTCTTCCTCTCTAGTAGGGTTTTTGGTTTTCCAAAAAAAAAACGCCCTAAAGTCTTTGAGTCAAGTGGGGCAGTTGTATTGCATAAGAACATTGCTAAACGTAAAACAATGATATTAATGGTCTGCTTTTTGGAACCACACTGCTGGATTTAATTAATGACATGCACTTTCCTACGCCTTGTTGCTATAACCAGCAGGAATATTGTGTAAAAGACACCCAATAAAATACGATTGCGCTGGCCGTTAATGGTTTGGCTATTAATTAGCTGCAGAGTATGAGTAATTACGCGCATTTCCCAAAAATGTGTTAGCAAGTGGCAATAAACACGAGAATTTTATAAAAGAAAACTACTAGACCGAACGAAATTACCAAATTCTGAATTCGTAAATGGACTTATTAATGGCGGAGCACTTAAAATAAGAAAATGCGGTGGGCGCAACTCTGCAATTTGTTGTCTTGTGACCTGGTCATAAATTTCAAATTTGCGAGTTTTGAAACTCTGCACAATGTAGGTACTTAATTTAACCTACGCATATCTATCGAAAGTTTTAAGATTATCAATTACGGTCATCATTGTGGGGGTTTACATTATTGCAATATTGGTGAAAATAGAGACTGATCAATCTAATTTGAAGAACTCTTCCTGTCAACAAAGTAATTAAGTATATCGGGATCATTCCGACACATCAAGTCCCTACACGAATTCAGCCCAAATAAAAGTACGGTAATTAGATACTTGTAAATAAAAACAACTCCCGCATACGTTACAATGGCAATTTTATGTAACCGGTCTAAATTTAATTGAAAAATTAAGAGGGCTACTTACGAAATTCCTTAATTCCGCCGTATTAATTCACAAATCACTAAAATTCGATCAAAAGGTAACTTTTTTATACGCGGTTACTTTAAAAGAAATGTAAGAGCACGAACTTAGCAACGCTCGCCACGGTAGTAAACAATACATAACAATATCGAATGCTTTTATGCTAGCGATATCATTTCTGCTCATGAGCCAAATCACCTCACTTGAGAGCAGCAGTCTCATTCATCAAAGCTGCTGTTGAATGTTAGTAGAGGAAAATTATTGAAGGAAAAATCCTTATTTGGAATATGCCACTTAAACCTATTTAGTTTAGAAACAATTAATGGGAATAAATTGAAGTCCCGATCTCGATTCCTAAACAAATTAATTCAATATAATGTTAGACAAGATGTCCCACGACGAGGTGAGTCGATTATTATATTGGGCAACTAATAATCTAAAAAGTTCCACACGTGGGTAATTAAATCAGTCCCTTTCAGCTAAAATACCTTATGCATATGAAGTTGGATCAGCCCACTTAAAATAATTGGACAAAAATGTGTGGACAGTTAGTCCTACGTTAGTGCTCTTTAGTGCTCGGAAGTTACAGCGTTACAACAGTTAGTTAGTACTGCGATAGAAAATAAGAAAAGTCAAAAAAGGGCCGATTTCACACTCATGCTTATACATATAATGAACCCACAAGATATTAGTGTTACGTTAGTGCTGCTTAACATCAGGAAAACGGTTTGGATCTCTTTCGCCGTTCCTAAAAAAGAAAAATGAATAAAATTAAAAGTTTATGTGAAGTTGGCTCTACCCATAACACATTTTAAAACAAACACAATCATTAGTGCTACGTTAGTGTTGTTTTCTACTCGAAGATTACGATTCCAACGTTTTGCCTTTCCGGAAAAAAACACGCAAAGTTGGTAGATTTTTAAAAGCAGGTACACATGTAAGTAGAATGCCGACACTCCCCCCCACCACTTTCTGTGACGTCACGGAGACCTTGGGTTTTTCCCAAGGTCGTGGCCTTGGGTTTTTCCCTGACCTTGGGTTTTCCCAAGGTCGTGGCCTTGGGTTTTTCCCAAGGTCGTGGCTTTGGGTTTTTCCCAAGGTCGTGGCCTTGGGTTTTCCCCAAGGTCGTGGCTTTGGGTTTTCCCAAGGTCGTGGCCTTGGCTTTTTCCCAAGGTCGTGGTTTTGGGTTTTTCCCAATGTCGTGGCTTTGGGTTTTCCCAAGGTCGTGGTCTTGGGGTTTTTCCCAAGATCATGGTTTTGAGGTTTTTCCAAGATCGTGACTTTGGTACAGGATCATGGTCTTGGATCCTGGGGCAGGGTTGTGATTATGGATTCTGGATCAAGGTCGTGGTCTTGGATGCTGAGTTGAGATTGTGTGATTTGGATTCTGGGATTTGAGTTGTGCTCTGGGATTTTCCTAGCGAATTTAAAAGAGAGAGGTGTAGAGAAAAATAAGAGATGTTGTATTACAAACCTAATCTAAGTACATACTCTTAGAAAATAGTAATCCATACATTTCAAATTTTACAAAGAAGAAGAAGAGGAAAAAGCAAAGCGAGAAGCAAGCAAAACAAGAAAATATTTGTGTACTTACTTTTTCTTAGTTTTTGAGTTGGACTAAAATTGTGCTCTGGGATTTTCCTAGCGAATTTAAAAGAGAGAGGTGTATAGAAAAATAAGAGATGTTGTATTACAAACCTAATCTAAGTACATACTCTTAGAAAATGGTAATCCATACATTTCAAATTTTACAAAGAAGAAGAAGAGAAAAAAGCAAAGCGGGAAGCAAGCAAAACAAGAAAATATTTGTGTACTTACTTTTTCTTAGTTTTTGTTTGAAAATCCTTGTTTTTTCCAAGTTTATCCACACACACACACACACCCTCCCTAACACATAAGAAAGAGAGAGATGCACAGATTAGCACTGTATAATTACGTAAACTGCAGTAGATTATGCGAGGCTAATAAAACTTGTAACAATACGTTAGGTGATGTTAATGAGTCGGTAGTCAAATACTAACTGAAATTAGAGCGTACATTTCTTATTTGGGTATTTCCCGAGGCCATTGCAATGGGTTTCCTCAAGTCATGGCCTTGGACTATGAACTTGTCGTAGCATTGGGTTTTTCCCAAGGTCATGGTCTTGGACTTTGACCTCCCCAAGGTCATGGTCTTGGACTTTGACCTCGAGTTTTTCCAAGGTCGTGGTCTTGGACTTTGACCTCGAGTTTTTCCAGGGTCGTGGTCACGTAGTCGACCGCTATGCTTTAAACCAACTTACTTATCAAATGCATTTAAGATATCCACACTCAACGGGGGCTGCACGAGGTCACTACTAAGAAGCTGTATCAATCTAGTTGGTAATAATCGATGTTAATTTCTCAACTACTGTCGCTTACTAAGCGAAATAAGAAAGGAATTGAAAAAATGCAATTAAGAAGGTGTAGTTGGAAAAACAAATTAAGCTGTGCTAGTGAAAGTATTTGTGTAATGACATACGGTGGAACTCAACGACAAATTATTCAAAACGCTGCTAATTGTAAACGATCAGAAGGCCAAAATAAATTCTCATTACCCACAATGTGTATTTGAAATATTTTTGCACGTTCACTATTGAAACTAGGAAAATTACTAGATTTTAGTTAACAGGCCGAAATTCGTTTTATTTTTTCACGTAAATAGTCTATTGAGTTACAGAACTTTTAACGAAAAACTACACTTTTGTACTCGGACTCTTATTAACCGTACCTACTGGTTGCCTTTAAATACATAAACAATGATTTTTTACGAATAGAAATAAAAGTCAAAATTGCTCATAACCGAAAACTCTTGCTAACGGACTTCAACTAAATTACACATACAAAATTTAAAAGCTTTCAAGCTCAAAGGAAATTTAGTTTTTAAAACGTGTACCTACTGTCTTTATTGTGCATTTATATGTTTTCAGTTCATTTGATAGCATATATACAATCACAAACATTTTAAAGACAAAATACGAAAGCAAAACAAAATGATTCAGGGTTTGCTCTGCCTTTAATAAAAATCTTCGAGTTTAATTTTATAGATTCATAAAAAAAGATTAGGAAGATATTCGAAATAATACGTTTCAGAACTTGTAACGTATAAGTGCCATCGAAATCATTGCGTATGTTGAGAGTTTATTAACTCATAAAGATCATCATCATCATGTAAGTGATGTCCAAGCTCATATAGATTCCAATTAAAAAAATTACATTATCAACAATTTTATTTAGAGGAAATAACATTAAGATAATACATATACCTCTTTTTTTGCGATATTGTACTTTCAATAACATAATTAATAAAAAACAATTACAAAGGAATAGTCAATATTTAACATTCTGCTTACAAGTTGAAAGTAAAAAAAAGTGATTGTTGTGATTCAAGTTTGTTACGGTAATTATACACCTAATTGCTTACTGTTATTTAATTTGTAGGTAGTAGGGTAGTGTCAATATAAAGAAAAGAGCATACTTGTCTGTTTATGTAATTTGGTTTTTATCATTATATACGGTTATAATGGAAGACCTAGTACGCCTATTGAATTTATCTGTAAGTGTAAAAAATTTGGAAAAATTAAACGAAAAATACAATTTAAATATTGAAGAGTTGTCAATCTGTTATAGTGCCATAAATCAATTGAGTGCGTCCTTTTTTGACCGAAATTCGTTTTGTAGTTGAAATTTTTTCAACTTTTTCGAATATTCAAAGAAATTGTTGATGGAATAAAATTAAAACACAAAAATTTTGATTAGAAGTTATGTGATGGTCTGTTTTCATAAAAGTCAAGTAGTTTGAATTATATAAAAATGAGGAGATGAGGAACAAAATGTTAATTTTCGCTAAGTTCAAATTTTTATTAAATTTTAAAAGCGATTGCTGTTTTCTGATATGAAACTTTTATATGTATTTATGGAAGATAGCACGTGCGTGGTATATGTTTCAAGATAGAACTTGCAAAAAAAAATCCAGTTTAATTTTATTTAATTAATTTGTTCAATCTTCTTAGTTTTTTCTTGTAGCCAAGTAGTGGGTAATGATCCTGTACCATTTCCACAGAACTTGCAAATTTTTGTTACGAGTTTTGTAAATCGAGACAATCACAAAAATTCACGGTATTGCGAACGAGTATTGTAATAAAACGAGTACGTAATAGGCTTCTCTTCAAGATGCACTTCAGCCACGTCCTACAAGCATATTAATCGGATATTTTGCTCGGGGCTATATGCCCGGAGCGATATTCTGATTGTAAACCGAAACGTAGTAGTCTTGAATGTTTGTGAAAAACTGGGTATCAAGTTTATCTACTTACCAAAGTTTTGTACGATACGCGCGAAAATCGTTGTGTAGTTGTAATTTTTTTCAACTTTTTCGAATATTCAAAATTGTTGATGAAATAAAATTAAAACACAAAAGTTTTGATTTGAAGTTATGTGATGGTCTTTTTTCAGAAAAGTAGAGTAGTTTGAATTATATAAAAATGAGGAGATGAGGTACAAAATGTTAATTTTCGCTAAGTTCAAATTATTATTCAATTTTAAAAGCGATTGCTGTTTTCTGATATTGAACTTTTATATGTATTTATGGAAGATAGCACGTGTGTGGTATATGTTTCAAGATAGAGATTGTAAAAAAAAAATCGAATTTAATTTTATTTAATTAACTTGTTCAATTTTCTTAGTTTTTTCTTATAGCCAAGTAGTGGGTAATGATCCTGTACCATTTCCTCAGAACTTGCAAATTTTTGTTACGAGTTTTTGGATGTTTTGTAAATCGAGACAATCAGAAAATTCAAAGTAAAGACAGAGATTTTAATTAACCTTTTTTTATCGACATAAAATTAAACTTGAACAATAAAAGATTGTTTATACCCCTCGTTAAATCTGTTTATTATATATACATGACCAATTGTAAATTAAGTCCCTATATCTACTATAATACTGTCTATAACAATCAGACATACTAACAATATTTATACAAATCCTTTCGTATAAGTTTAAGTAATTAAAACTAACATCTACAAAATAACTATTATTAAACAACTCAATATCTATATCATCCTTAATTTTATTTAAACTACCTATTAGAGTATCTACAAGTTCTTGACTGGAAATTAAATAA